CAGTCAGTCCTGCTTCCCCTCAGCCTTTCTCTGCCAGGTTGGAGAAGTAACCCCTAAATTAAATTAACATCCCTCTGGCCATCCCCCTGCTTCCGGTTACCTACCATCCTTGGGAATGTGGAGAAAATAGTCACTGAAATAATCTTCTTTATTCCAAATCAGGAACCTCAGTTGTGAAGGGGTTCTCTGTGCCATACACAATGCGCGCACGCGCGCGCGCACACACACACACACACACTACTTTTCTCTTTCTCACAGAGGCAAAAAAAGGAGAGCCCAGTTTGGGCTTCACGTCTGTCCCCTTCCTCCTCCTCCTCAGTGCTCAGTGCTCTGTGGCACTAATATGCACTCGGTGGGACAGATGAAGTGTGAGGCCTCTGAAACCGCACTTCTGGGTTTAGATCCTGGTCCTGTCACTTTCTAGCTACAGTGACCTTGTGCGAGTTGTTTGACTGTTCTGTGCCACTGTTGCCTGATATGAAAATGGGGTGATAATTAGGTTAACCTCAAGGAACTGCTGTGAGAATTGACTGTTCAACACACCTTAAGCATTTGAAACAGTGTCTACCACATGCACAATCGGTGTTGCTGTTGTAATTGTAGGAGACAGCTGGGTGGGTGGCCAGGCTGATCTTTTCTCAGGTCTGTGAATTAAGTAGGATTTTGTGACTTACCTGAATACAGTTGGAAGAGTGGAAAGGAAACACTATCAAACCTTCTTTTCTACCTATAAGTTATAGTCATTCATTAACTGGCACGCTTTTGTTGGGCACCTACTGTGTACTAGATTAGTGGTTCTCAAAGTGTGAACTCCATCACCTGAAATCTTGTTAGAAATGCAGATTCTACCATCTCCCATCACCCTCTATAGGCTTTCTGAATCAAAAACAGGATGGGACCAAGCAGTGTGTGTTTAACTAGCCCTCCAGATGTTTCTTGTGTTCTAAAGTTCGTCAACCATTTCTCTGGATGTAAAACGTGAACAAGACAAGTGTTCTGACCTTCAGAAGCACACAGCCTCCTGGGAGAGACAGATTCGTAAAGAAAAACAACCAAGGCTTCTGCAAGACGCAGTGGAAACACAGAGAGCAGTGGTTCACAAAAAAGAAAGGGGGCAATTCAGCATTTTTGAAGGAGGTTTTGGAAAGAGTTCCTAAACGAGTGTTACTTAAACTGTATCTTGGAAAAGGACCAGAACTTTTACAATTATACGTAGGGAAAGTGACATTCCTAAGAGGGCACTGCATGTGATAGGCAGATGTGTTTTGTCCACCATTGCATCCCCAGTGCCTGGAGCATTCCCTCACTCATAGGAAGGACTAGTAGAACAACTGGACACAAAGATACTAAATTCCTTTATACTGAACTTTCATGAGTCAGATCTCAGCATAAGATATTAAAACCAGCAAGGCAACCTACTTTTGAGTTTTCTACTTTAAAGTACTATATTTCTGCAAGAAATTAGCCAATGACTGGGTTGTTTCTTTAATCTGCTACATCTTAAAGCATTGCTTGGCAATACAAGACATATTACCTCTAAATCTGCAGGTAGTTCAGTGAAGCCCAGAGGAATTGCTTGAAACAAGCTGATTTTGCACCCACATATTTTACCTGCAAATTAGTGATGCTTCTTGTAAACCTATTGGTCTTCTCAATAGTTGATCTTCACAATAGTTTCCTCATTAAAATATGAAGAACCAAATATCCCAGGAAGCATATTTCTTTCTGCTTTAGTTAAGATCAACCCTGCATACAAAATGATTGTATCTTGTACTTTGTGAGTTGTGTTCTCATGTGCTGTCCTGTGCCAGATGCTGCTCTTCTTTCTTCTGGATACCAGGGCACCTCTGCATCTTCACACTGACCACAGTGACAGGTCTGGTAACCAATTCAAAAGAAAGGACTTAGGACAAATTAGACTCCAGTAGTAAGATTCTCTTCCTTTCAGAGCCACATCTAAGGAAGCCACCCTGTGGGTCTTCCCCTCCAGCAGCCCCGCCATCCCTCCTCTGGCTCTAGGTACGCAGTTAATTACATCCCTGGTCAGCTTGTCCTGGTTCTCTGATCTGAAAACACTGTTCAGGAACTGTACCTGGATTTCCGATCAAGTGGATCAGAAGTCACAGGCATTCTGAACAATAAAGGGAACTGGGGATCATGGACAGCCTCCTCCGCGATCATCGGCTTGTACTATTGTGTTATAGGAACGGCAAGTTTCCAGACATTTAACACACCAATAGTCTATGATGTGATGGGGGAAGAGATTAAAATACATAATGTTTTTGAATCCCAAAGTTGAGATGAGTTTTCCTTTATTTCTCTGTGCTTACTTAGGAAACATAGCTACATATGGCTATTCATTTAAAAAAAAAACAAAACTAAAAACATTTATCAATTTGAGGTAGAAAGGGGAGCTAGGGACACATGAGATTCCAGATAATAATTGTTACCTTTACATGGAAGCTAAAACCCTGAATCCTGCTGCCTCTCTCCAAACATTATAACCCTCTTGAAAAGAGCACTGAGCTTGAAACCTTTGTTCTTTAAAGCTTACTTTTCTATATATCCAATGCCTTGATTTCTTCATAAAATCTTTTTCTCTGTTTCAATCTTTGCCCCAAGAACACATTTAAGGTTAATATTTGTGGAGAGAATATAGTTGTTAAGCAACTTATACATCAAGACATAGTTGGCATAAAATAGTGTAATTATTAGCTTTTAAACCTTTGATTTTGCATAAAAACAAACACCTAATAACTTAACAGTTGATACTTCAGGAATCCTACCCTTCATCAATTTAATTTTTTTCTGCTTGACTTTCTTCATTTCTTTATTTTTATTAGTTGTGGAGGAAAAGGGCCAGAGGCTGCAATGTGGGGGTAGAGTTGACAGCTGGGGTCAGTATGGAAGCTGGCAGTAAATGACCTCAGAGCACAGATGGGCAGACATATTCGTGGCGTTTTGAGTGCATATAGATTGGTGTGAGTGTGGGAACAGACTTTTATAAATGTACAAGGATAGAGAAAAGATCCTGGTAAACTCCTGGTAATTTCTGTAGAAATTAATGAAAACCCTGACCCATCATTGTTGTACCCTGAGATGCTAGCCTCATTTATCTAAATATTTGATGCTACTTTGTACTTTCAGTCATCACCACTTCAATATCCTTTCACAAAATTATTCTCCAAAGTTATTTCCAGTTTTAAGTAAGCATAAGTAAATCTGAAAATTGAGATTTCATCTGTACAGGCAAGATGAAAAGTAAGTTTCAAGGGCCAGGGAGATAATTATGGATGGTTTGAGAGAACCATGTTGCGAAAGGAACTCACGAAACAGATAAACATTTATGGACGAGGCTCTTATTTGTCCAGGTTTGAATGCTGGAAGGAGATACTAAAAAGTACTAGAAAATTCATAGGAAGATGAGCACTTCTTGATGGTTGAGGGTACTGAGTGGGCAGCTGTGTGTATAAACAGTCTTGTTCTGTAGGCAGCAGAGTCTTTATGAACCTGAGATTGCAGTTGTTAGCAAAGAAAGAATCAAAAAACAAGAGAGGAGAGAAAATAGGAGTTATGAACAATGGTAAGGAATACACATTTAAGAGAAGTATATTGAAAGTTTAGAATGTGGTCCTTAGAGACAGCGGAGTACTGCCGTGTCATAAAGAAGGATAAACTTTGAGACCACTGTGTTAAGTAAAATAAATGAGACACACAAACTTCAATATCACATGGTTTCTCTTATATGAGAAACTCAAAATAAAAGACAGATAATACTAAATAGGAAGATAGATCTTGTGCAAAAGGGAAGAGGACCAAGAGATGGAGGGAGAGGAGTGGGGGCGGGGGGGATGAAGACAAATAAGATGTGCTGTGTACATGTGCCAATTCCCCACGAGGAATGTAATCATTGTGTACTGCACACGTACTCATAAAAAATAAAAATCGGGAAAATAAACAAAAAGAAGTTATGTTTTAGAATTCCCCTTTTGCTAGACCTTGTATCAGAATAAATTATAAAGGATCTGAGATTCATTGTCTTTGACTTGAAGGAGTAGGAAAGTTAGAAATAATTTCACTTGCATAAATAAAACTATTATCATGAAAAGAGAATGAGACGTTTGTTTATATGTTTCTGCAGATAAAGTAAAAATCATAAATTATGATTATAGGTGAACTATTATACTATGTGACAGTATGGAACTACTATTCAAAAATATATTTAATAATAAGTAATAGGCTGATTACAAATCAGTAGTAAAATCATTTTTTCTTTATCATAGTCTCCCAATAAAAATCATTTCTTAAAATACTTACCAGTCTATTTTGTGTAAATTTAGAAAATTAGAGATAACTTTACTTATGAGGTGTGATCACAAAATATAGTGAATGTTTAAATCCCAAAATATTACAGTAAAACACATTGCCATTAATCCAATCAAAATCCCCTCCTCACTTCAGACACACTTATCCCATTATTCTTGTCACTTTCTGGAGCAGTTCTGGATGTCTTCTTTTATGAGTGTCTTTAGTTGCACTATCATGACTACCTTTATGTCCTGAATGGATTCGAAACATAACATTTACTTTTCATAGTCATTTTGACTTTGGGGAAGAGCCAGAAGTTGCACAGTGCCAGATTTGGTAATTGAGGTGAATGAGGACACACCGTAATGTTTTTATTTGACGAAATTGCTGTAAACATTTGAATCAATTCAAGTCATCAAGGCAGCCATGAAAAGACCCAAAAGAGAACTTCCAGAACTACTTCAGAAAGTGGCAAGAAGAGTGGGATAAGAGTGTTCAAAGTGAGGGGTCATATTCTGAGGGGATTAACATTCCCTATGTTTTTTTATCATACCATGAACTCTTTATTGATCTATACCAAAGTTTTGGTGCATGTGACCAAATTTATTGAAATGAAATTTATTACATTATTTGATTAACAGCAATACTTGATAACTCAGAGTAATTCTAACTCCTGTTTTCTGGTTTTACAGCTTGGCTCATCCTCTTCTGTGCCTTTTACATCTATTTTTTCTCAGCTTTTTATGACTGTTGTGGTTCCTCTCATTATTGGACAGGTAAGTTCTCCAATTTCTAGCCCTTTGTTTCTTTATAGATCAAATTGTGAATTCTTGTGTAAGGTCAGGGAAATTGAGTGAAATGATATTCACAGGGAAGAAACAACGAATTGAAAATAGATGACTGTGAAAAGATAGCTTCATCAACCACAAAATTCCTATCTTTTAATTTGTAAATTAGCCGGGGATTTAGCTCAGTGGTTCTGGTGCCTGCCTCTCAAGAGCAAGGTCCCGAGTTGATCCCCAGTACAAAATAAACATTTTGTAAATTAATATTAATCTGCTTTGAGCTATATATAAGAATTCCTGAACAGAATATTAAAGTTAGACCTTAGAATATTTAGTTTCCTTTTTTATTCTTATTCAACAGGACTCAGAAAAAACGTTCTTCCAACTTCTTATAACAAGTTCCCAATGAGCATATAATTTAATTATAAACATATAAATTGTAAAGCAAGGTTTTTGTTGGTTGGTTGATTGGTTGGTTTGTTGTAAATCATAGGAAGCTATGGTAATAGAGAACAGAATTTAATGTACTACTGCAATGAGTGAATCTGAGAGCACCAGTACAAATGACCAAGAGCACAGATTTTAGAGCAACTAGACTGTAGACTTAGTTCTACCTTTCATTTGCTGTGTGACCTTGGGCAGGTCATTTACTTTTCCTGTCTCCAGGTTCATAATGTGGTAACTATTACAGCGTTAGTAACAATCTTAAAATGTTGTTGTGAGGATTAAATGAAATAGGAACACATAATAAAGTTCTTGGCATGGAGCTGATACAGGCAGATGCTCTGTAGCTCCCTTCATCATCACCATCACCATCACAATGATCACCAGAGCGTCTGCAAATACTAAACAGGAAGCAGTTCTTTGAAATACTGCCTATAAAATGATGTATGAATAGACAGTATTTATGTGCTGGTTTTTGTCAGTTTCTGAGAGGTTCCTATGTGGGAATTGTGCAGGGCTGTACCCGTGGGCAGGATGAGAAAGTTGGCTAGGATGACATCTTCCCTGCACAGTTCCCTGGGAACTGTGGATCAGAGAGGACCCCTCATAGTTGTCCTGCTACAAGGCAGGAGCACCTGGATTTTGCATTCCTGCCCTGACCACTCAGGAGTGGCTGGCTTCCATCTCACCCACCGACGGCCGTGACGAGAGGAACTTCCCTGTGATTTTCCATCCAGGCAACAGTCCCCGTTCTTTCAGGGATCTCTCGGTGGCTGAGTCTGCCCACCACACCGTAGCATCCACTATACAGGCATGGTATTTAAAATTTTTAATTTTATGTTTACAAAAGGGGCTAAATTAGCAAAAATGGACAAGATTTAAAAGCACTCAAAGAATACTATTCAACTAAGTATAAAATAGTACTTGCCAAAAGTTCTTCCTCCACAGTGCTGATCTGATAAGGGGAAGTCTGGGTAGATACATCCCCTGCCTACCTTTCTAATCTCCGCCTCGTTTCCTACCTCTACTTTCCCTGGCTTTTTCTCAATTTTTCCTATCCTGTCTGTTCAAAATGTCTTTATACTCTCCCTCCCACCCCCGAGTTTATTACTCATTTGACTCTTTAATTCAGGCTCTCTTTGAACTACCTAATGTATGTTTCCCTAGTTATTCTCTATTGCAGCACATTATTTGATTTCTTTCTTGGCCATTCTCATAATATATATTACCTTTTGTATGCTTGCTATTTGTCTCCTCCATTAGGCTATAAGCTTTATGAGTATAGGAACCATATTTGCTTTTTTTACTCTTACATTCCCAGACTATAGGTACACAATAAATTGTATTGGGTGAGCAAGTGAAGAAATGAATGAATGAGGTTCTGTGATTCATATGGGATATTCTCTCGTATAGAGGCATAATTGAATCCACCTGTCCTTCTCATCTTGATGCAGTTGAAGCTTTGGTTAGCATTAGTTTAAATACATACTTATTTTCTTGGTTCATAAAATAACTCCACATAATACTTTGAAGGACATAATTATTCTTCCTTGGAAATATCTCTATTAAGCAATGCTTGTCTTAAAACAGGGACAAAAAAACAAGAAACCCAGTGCCCAAGTTATTCAATTTTTTATTTATAGGGTCATATCATATATATAATTAAAGAATATTTATCCAGAAAAAATATGAACTGTTAGCTTGCTCATCCTTTGTGTGACCAGTACTAGTCAGTAAACTGAAGAGTAATAAAGGTAGTCACAAAGTAACGTAAGTAGTTTCTTTAAAGTACTGTAGGTACCAACATACTTTAGTGCCATTCTTCAATGAAGAAACCCATATGCTTTCATCTACCTGCCCCTCCTCTTTGTATTTTATTCTTAGGAATTAACAATCACCGGCTCAGTCCTGGAGCTTCCAGTCAGAGCCCAGTCCTGCCAGGATCCCGCAGCTCCGTCACCCCCATCTGCACCAGGTTTCTCAGGATGACTACACAGAGCCCACTGACTCTGTATGAGCTGACCAAGCAGAGCCTGCTGAACAGTGAGACCACAGCCAGCACTGCTCTGCATGACCTGCCCCCTTGATCTTCCATAAAATTTTCATGGAGGCCTTCATGGGGGAACACAATGAGGTACTGAAGGTGATGGTGCAGCCCTGGCCTTTCCCCTGGTGACTTTGAGGAAACCAAAGACCCCACACCCTCAGCTGGGAGAAATCACACTGCAACAGAGAAACCTATGGACTTTGCAAGCCCTACTGGATGGAACTGACATGTAGCTGTCACAGAAGGTTCACCACAGGGGGAGTCTGCAGGTGTTGGATTGGAGGAATGTACACTGGGACTTCTGGACTGTAGGGCCCAGAGCCATGAGTACTGCCCACTCAGAAGATGCCAGCAGTAAGGAAGCAGGCAAGCCTGGGTTGAGGAAGAAGAAGCTGACCTTGACAATATTCGCGTACCTTTGCTTTGAAGCCTGGAGTAGGTCTTGTGCCACCCGTGATGAATTGCAACTCTGTCGCTTGAAGTGGGCCAGGAAGAGAAAAGCTTCAGTACTCCTGAGCTGTGAGAAGGTGATGATCAAGTCCCACGCTGTCTTTACAATCCTGGAGCTTCTTTGTGCTGTGCAACTGGACTCTATCCAGGAGCTGGACGTGTTCAGTGACTGGGGTCGGGAAAGCATGAAAGCATTTGTTCCTCAGCTCAAGAAGATGACAAACCTTCGCACATTTCCCTTCAGCAGGCTGAGCCCAGAAGTGTATACTTCAGCCTGGAAAAACAAGTGGCATTCCGGCATCTACACTTTTCACTTAGGACAGATGCAAAGTCTCTGGGATATAGATGATGTCTTCTTCCTGGAAGGAACTCTGCACAAAATCTTAAGGAGCCAGACCCCCTTGGAGGCCCTCTCCTTGAGTTCAAGTCCAGTGAAGGAATGTGACCTAAAGCATCTGGCCCAGTGTCCAGGCACAAGCCAGCTGAAGTCCCTGAGTCTTAGGAAGTTCTCAATGAAGTCATTCAACCTGGAGACCCTCCAGGCTCTGCTAGACAAACTGGCCAGCACCCTGGAGACCCTGGTCCTAGAGAACTGTGACAGCACAGACCCCCAGCTCCTTGCCATCTTGCCTCCCCTGAGCCGCTGCTCCCAGCTCAAGACCTTCAGTTGCTATGGGAACCCCATTTCCCTGGGCATCCTTCAGGTCCTGCTGCATGAGTGTACCGCACTGAGCCAGTTAATCTAGGGGCTGTATCCTGCCCCCCTGGAGAGCTATGAACCCTGAGAAATTTCCCCAGGTCTGTGCTAAATTGGCACAGGTACTGACAGACATAAGGCTATCCCTTAGGGTCCAGATCTGTACCTACTGTGATTGGTGCATGGTGTACCAACTGTATACGCTGGAGCCCAGTGGGAACTGGGAAATCACGGAGGAGTTTCGCTATCGAAGTAGGTTTAGATGTGACAGTTGTGTGAATCCCCTGCTTGGTGATCATAGCTTTCTTCTGTAGGGGTTCCCTCAAAGCTTCCAGTGCTCACAGGTAGGACTTTTAGAAGTGACTGGATCATGGGTGCATGATAACTCATCAGCGGACTTCTCTACTGAGTCTACAGCTCAATGTGATGCAGGGAAATGAGGCGAGGTTAGAGGAGGTGGGTCACTGGGGACATGGCCTAGAAGGCTGTGTCTCTCACCCTCCTCTGTTTATCTCCCTCTGCCGTACCAACCTATGAACTGAACTATAAGACCAAGTAAACCTTTCCTCTTTCAAATTGTGAGTGTTATCTATAGTGTATCAGTGACGATGGAATAGTGAATTCACATGCATATGTCTGAAGTTAGTGTTGCATAGATTGTCAAGGAATGAGCATAAAGGGACTCTTGGCAAGTAAGGTAGAACACGTCCAGTGTCTGGGCACTTTGGTGAGTGCCAGCCTGAGCTACATTGTGAGACTATCTCCCAAAAAGAATAAATACATAAATAAATAAATCCTCAATATAAAAAAACACACAATTACCAACCCCAGTCTCTGTGTCCAGAAGCCACCAGTCAACCTTGCCTCCTCCCTCTCCTTGCATCCTTACCCTGACATCCAGGAAGACGCTACATTTTAGCATTTCTGCCTGAGAAATCATTCACATCTGGCACCTGCAACTCTTCACACTGCCAGAGAGAGTGGTACACCTCTAAATTATCCCACCTTCCAAACTTGTTTCTCTGCTGTGAATCTCTCTGATTCCTGTCCACTGTCTTTACCACCTCCAGGGTGGTCATAAAAATTGAATCAGATCATGTTATATCTCTCCTTAACACCTTCCCTGTGGCTCCCTGTCACCAACTGTCTGGCCCACAGACCCCTTCACAGTTGGATCCCAACCCACATGGACTCCTCTTTTGCCGTGCCATGTGCACATCCTTCCCGCAATTGAACATGCCTTCACTGCCCCCTGCCTTTATCATGCTGTCCCTGTCTTCTCTGTCAGGAAGCTCCCTCAAGCTGAGTGTGGTGGTACATGCATGTAATCCCAGCACTGAGGAGGCTGAGGCA